TATATACGGAAATATAATATTAACCATAGCCCCTGACTGTAGAAGGAATATCACTTTTAGCTACAATGAGACCGAGACAATATAAATAAATAACAATTCGAAATCTTATGAGATAATCAATGCTAGAATTAACCTGACCAAATTTAACTATTCAAGAAACTGATATTCCTAAAGATTTATTTACCGTGAATATATTAGATAAAGAAAGTATGCAGCATATGGGTAAGACACTCGGAGAGTTGCAAGATATTGCTGATAAGATATTGCATCACCAAAGAATAAAAACATGGAAAGAAAAATTTTATGAATACCTGGTATATGCTGGATACATCGCCCTTGCAGGCATGCTAATTGTATTTCTATATAAAATAGGGTTATTTAAAGTAATTGTTAAAATACTACGATCATTATGCGGACACTGTTATCACAATTGTAGCTTTGGAAATAGCGCACCTACGCAACATGTAACATAGGGTGCGTTCGGGCAGCTCGCTACCGCGCTATCAACGCTAACGCTACTAGCTCCGTTCACGGAGCCAAGATAGCGCTAATGAATGCGAGCTCCGTGAACAGCAATAGCATAGCGTGGTAGCGTGCGTCTGCTAATAAAAATGGAACAAGATCGTAAAAAAGCAATATTAACAGCAGTAGCACTTATAATACAAGAATTAATAGATTCATCGTCTAACAGTGATGATGGTAAAGATTTAAAAATAATAGAATAGAGTATGAATGTAAGAAAACATGTACCATGTATCAACATTAAAAATTGAAATATCGGCATTTCTCACATTTTCCGTTGAATTATTAGATGAATGTTTGTAATAAAATTAGGTGTTATTATTTTCAACACGTTAAATGCTGGACAAAAGATCCAGTCCAATTATAAATCTTTTGTCCAATATTAAACTAGTTGGAAATAATAACACCTAATTTTGTTACAAACATTCATCTGATAATTCAACGGAAAATGTGAGAAATGCCGATATTTTAATTTTTAATGCTGAGACATGGTACATGTTTTCTTACATTTATACTCTATTCTATAATTTTTCATTCTTCACCATCATCACTCTCAGACGATGAATCTATTAATTCTTGCATTATAAATGCTACTGCTGTTAATATTGTTTATTTACGATCTTGTTCCATTTTTATTAGCAGAAGCGTGCTACCACGCTATGCTATTGCTGTTCACGGAGCTCGCAAACGCTAACGCTATCAACACACTACCTCGGAAGGAATAGCGTTGATAGCGCGCAGTTATGACGTATCACACTACCATTAATGACGTCATAATTGCGTTTGGTAGCACTACCAGCTAGCTCCGTGAACAGTCGATAGCGCTAAATAGCGCTAATAGCGTCTCCCCGAACGCACCCCTTGCATCACTGACCGGAATCAATAACCGTTCCTTAACAGTTTTTTTAGTTAAACCGAAACTGTAACTAACGAAAATTTTATAAAGTTTATGACGCCAGAACTGAACCAGTTAAATTATTTTTGACTTACAGTTTTGTTTGGTTCTTTTTTTCTTACTCTATAATTTATTATTCTTCGTTGAATTTTCTATTTGTTTATATCGTACTTTTTTTTCGTTAACTTTAATGATTTGTAATGGTTCTCGCATATAAAATATTACACGATAAGACACGATGTAATGCATATATGCGTCAATTCAAAAAAGTATCTTTTATCTATAGAATTTTTGCAAAGTACGGTATCGAAAATTTTTGAATTTGATATGCCTAATATAGTAGATAAAAATTTGAAAAATTATTTTATTTTTATCAAACTTATCAAATTTGATCAATTTTATTTTTATCAATTTAATTCTAGATGATTTTCTATGATCTTTAAATTAGAATATAAATAAATTTAATTTAAATTTAACATAAAAATTGAAATATAAGAACATATTTTTATAAAACATGCAATTTATATTTTGAAATTTTTATTTTTATACATTGAAATTAATTATTAATAATTATTTTTTCAACTTATTGTTAAATATATTTTATTTAGATTTTATTTAGATTTATTTTTCTTAAATTATAAAATTTACATTTTAACTTTTAAATCAAGTGTCTCTAAAACTTCTTAAAAGGTGGAATTTCTTCATGGTAGAATCTGTTGTTTAATTTATTTTTAACTGTGTCATTAGGTTCACAATTTAAAATTTTATTTGTTGATTTGAAAAAAAATTCAGTGTTTGGAAACATAAATTTATACTTCCACAAAGTAAAATATAATTTTTTTTATAAAAGAATAAAATAACTATGTGTAATATGTATAAATATGTATAAATATGTATAAATAAGAATAAAATAAAAATGTGTTTTTTTGTTCTTAATAGTAAAAAGATTAAAAAATTATTTCTTGCGCGCAGTAGCAGCATGAAGGAAATATAAATTTGAATAGCTTCAAATTTAATTAAAATTTATAGGTTGAAGTCGACAATTCCACGGAGAGGTAAAGTTCCGGATGATGAATTACTTGAGGGACAGCGATCACCGTTTTCAGGAACAAATTTATCCGAAGAAATAAATAACACAGTGGTCGAATTAAGACCGCAAAATAATTCATCAAATACGAACCATTCAGATACAATTAATTCGATTGAAGTGCCGCTGAATTCTACTTTTGATGATAAAAGCTCTACGAGTCTTACTGTGCCAAATGCAGGTGAATGTTTTCAGATTAAATTAAATTTTCAATTAAATAAGAATTTTATATTACATTACTTTAGATTTCATCTAACTAAATTATTTGGAGCATGTTTTTCTCAATTTTTATTTGCTAATTTTTTTCAGATTTAAATCAGGAAACTGACGAAAATTTATTTCCACTGCTACAATCAAATTGGAATATGAATATAGCTAAAATAACGCTACGACGAGCGGGTTATTATACTATTCCTCCGCTTGATAAACTAGACGATTTCGTTTGTGGTGAGACATGCATCGTACCGGACTTTACTGTTGGACGCGAAGGTTACGGCAATGTGTACTTCCCGGATTCATTCGACGTGTATGGTTTGAACCTAGATGAAATCGGTAAAGTACATATAAATGTAATTTCATGTTAACTTTAACAAATTATTTAATATCCTATTATATTATTTCATTTCCGATATCATTAATACGTTGAACGTGTCGCGAGGGTCACTGATGATTGGCATTTGACTTTTTCAGTGGCGCCAGCGATCGGCGTTATCTAAATTAATTACAGTGATAGAAATAAATAATTCACAATAAGTTTTAAAATTTCGAATATCATTGTTGTTTGGAATCTTATGATAGCGATATAAACTAACAAATACACTATTAAGTATTTCAACAATTATATTTTTTTTATAATCTGATACTTATTTTAAATGTTTTATTTTAATTGTGTATATTGCGATGTATTAGCGTAGGTGGTACATGTAAAATTTTATTTATTTGTTTGACATTCGACGTGTTAATAACGAGGACCGGTGTTTAAAGCCCTATTGTACATACTCCTCATTGATGTAACAGTTGACTAAAAAAAAGATAATTTCATTGGAATGATGCGTCAGCGTCAAGGGTGCCTTCTCTTATTATGCAAAGGGGCGCCAGATATTTTTTAACGCTCTCTTTCCATCGCTTTATTTGTATAGCAAAAAAGGATGCATCTTAATGAGATTTATCTTTTAATTTTTGGGGTTTTTTCTTTTTTTCTTACCTCTTTCCTCTTTTTTTATTTTTTAAATTTATTTATTGGTTTTGATGATGAGACTCCGGGAGGACGGAAGTATAAACTGCTTACTCATGAGTGACATAAATTCTGTTTATTCTAGAATGTATTCTATGAAGATGGTTTGCATTACCTTTTTTTATATTTTTTTTTCTTTTTTTTTATAGGATGAGTTGATATTTTAAAACGGCGTAATATAATTATTAAAGAAAGAATTTCTTTTTAGAATACCATAAATATGATGAGATTTTTTTTTATATTATTGCTTTATCTTCTCAAAATCTTGTTATTACACATGTACTTTTTGAGGCCAAATTTGGATGCGGCTTTAGTCGCGAGAAACTATTTCTTTTCTAGATAATAAAAAAAAAGTCTAATTTTATAAGCTCGTAAAATTACGAAGGCAGTTCAATAAATAAACAGACAAACAATACTATAATTACTATAAAAATACATTAAAAAGAAAGAAATTACCACTATTTCTCAATAAAATCATAATCCTCGTTTACACAAATGCACTTGTCACCAGTTTTTGGATGCCTTTGGCGTAAAATTCTTTCGGTTAACATCTGAATCATTTTTGCAACGCATTCAAATTGTTATCAAATTTCGTATTCCGTAAAGCAGATTTCAGAGGATTTCAAAAAGGTGATGACATTTAAAACATCTGAAATTTCAACAATAGTAATTCTGCGGTATATTAGATAGAATCATCTTTTCAACAAAGTTTTTCAAACCGTGTCTGTTGAAATTTCCGTTCATCGTGGTTCATCACTAGTGTTTACCCGGCCATTTTTACATTTTTGCATCTATGCATAAAAACTTGCATGGTTTATATTATAATTTTATATTATATTGAGCGCACAATTTTTCTTGAAAAAATTTCAGCCGATTTTACAACCAGCTAACGAAAAAACGAATGACAGCATGCTATTCTATTACCGTGGAATCTTGCAATGGAATATGCATTATGTTTAAAAATAGACAATCGCAAACATATCAGTTTGCAGTAAAACCATGCACGGTGCTGCAGATGCAGTTGTTTGATCTTAAATTGCATTTGTCTGAGTACTTATTGAACGCCCTCATAATATGAATATTTCACCGCATCTCATCTGCAATTATTCTTGAAAGAATTGTATCTAATTGTAATTAAAGAAAATTATATTAACTAAGAGATATATATTTTATTTGTCATTGTAGTTCACTTCCGCCATAAAGAGGTGATTATTTATCCCGACGATGACAAAAAGCCACCAGTCGGACAGGGTTTGAATCGACGAGCGCAGGTTACATTGGATAAAGTATGGCCACACGACAAATCGCTGCATGAGCCAATCACAGATCCGCAGCGACTCGCTGCGATGAATTATGAGGGAAAATTACGCCGAGTATCTGCGAAACACGATACCCGTTTCTTGGAATATCGACCGGAGACCGGTTCATGGGTCTTCAAAGTTGATCATTTCTCCAAGTATGGTCTTAGCGATTCAGACGAGGATGACAGTCAGATACCATCAACTTCTGGAGCAAAAAAGTTGAAGGGGTTTTCCGCGTCCTTGAAAGGAAAAAGCATCGAATCGTCGATGGCAACGAGTAAGAATGCGAAGAACGGAGCGATTAACGGAACGATTAATGGAACGATTGGCAGCCCGACGATGAGAAACGGCAAGCACCCGGACATGGAGAGCAATTTTTTAGGGGAAACTCCTATTTACCGCTTTTCTTACGACGGCTTCGGTGATGAGAATCTAAAATTGCTTGCCAGGCCGGTTCGGGAAATTCAACTTGACAGTTCTATCCTCGTTTCCAGAGAGTATAGTTACGAGAAACGCAGTCCGGTCGGCGATAATGCCCGAGTCACCGGTACAGACAGCCACAAATTGCAACTCATGAAGGCAAGCTTCTTCGATACAAATGACGAAGATAATAGTGAGGAAATCAGTCGCGACGTGTTTCCCTTCGTGCAGAAAACTCTAATTCGTTATTTCCCAGACGTTACCGAAACCAAGATTGATGAAACTCCAATTAATTACAATGCCACGGCGTTGCGATCGAATTTCATCATGAACGAAACACCGTTTCCTGTGAGCCAAGAAAACGCATTCTATGCATTAAACAAAAAATTGCAACTGCAGCGACCGATTGAAAAAGCGATTCTATCGCCTGCGTTTGCTCCAGTGACAAGCGTGTTGAAGTATCACTATGAAGTTGTTCCACTCAAAGAATCAAGATTGAATAAGCGTTTTCGCTGTGTCGCTGATACCAGCATACAGATGGGTAGAATGTTTCGACCAAGCTGGGGGGCCGGTCTAACCTTGCTGTCTTTGAGCACGCAGGTAAGAATGTATCAATATTCGATATTATTGAGTAGTTAAGATTTTATTTATTTTTGATGCAAGAATATCGGATAGAAAGAAAACAAATAAAATATCGAATAAATATTTTTACAATTTTTACAATTTTTAAATTTAAATCAATATTGAGAGAGATTTAGAATGAGAGAATTATACTTGAAGGTTTAAAGATAATTTTCGTAGTCGACACTTTCTCTCCTTACCTTACCTTTATCTTATGTTAACAATAAGTCGGTCTAGCAATTATTTGTTATTAAAGTCTGGCAATAAAGCCAACATCAAGAGCGACATTATTATAGTAGTTGTCTTTATTGATCCCCTCAGGGTTACAATTATTTGTACAGCTCTCTTTTCCTTAACACTAACGCTTAACCTAACTTATTCTAATCTATATCCAATTTCCCTGGAGCAGGGGCGTAAGCCTCACGTGTTCACCCCCCTCCACCCCTAGTTACACACACACACACACACACACACACACACGCGCGCGCGCGCGCACACACACACCGTGAGCGACATTATAAAAGGAGTGAGATTACCACGTGACGACTCTGCCAACAATTGATTATTGAAATTTATTAATGAATATTGTTTTCTTATATTTCTTTACTTTATGTTATTATAATCAATAAAAATCAAGAATAGGTTTTTATTTTATATATGAGATACTATTGCCAACGCGCATTGTAATAAGAATTTTTTTAAGATAAAATATAGTATGAAATAGTAATAATAAGTGATATAATTTGTATTTAAAAATATTTATATTTATTAATATTTTGTTTTTATTATTTAGAACAGTGCTAGACAGGATCTGCATATTTCGATCAATTTTCGTAAGCTAACGTTTATCAGCTTCCCATTACGTCTTGAGGCAACGCGCGCGGTACTCGTGTGTGTGAAGCTGGCGTATTATTTCACGGAAACTCACAAATAATTAAGAGTTCTGACTTTATTTTCAATAGTTCTAGAGTTCTTGATAGTTTAAACACATAGTTCTGACCATTAAACCAACGGAAGTGCCTCAAGGACAAAGTGAGACGCTGCGTGAAGTTCGCGTCTCAGTTTGTTCTGAGGCATTTTCGTTGGTTTAATGGCCAGAACTATTTGTTTAAACTATCAAGAACTCTAGAACTATTGAAAATAAAGCCAGAACTCTTGATTATTTGTGAGTTTTCGCGAAATAATACGCCAGCTTCACACACACGCGGTACTCTGCCTCAGGAACGGGCGCATCTGTAACGCAATGAGATTTGGTGCCCCCGACTGCCACCAAATATCAATGTTTTGCACGTAATCTTTAAAATCTTTTTTAAAAATAAATTTAATAACAAAGTTCAAATTCTTGATTATTACATTTACGCTATAATAATCCTGAAATATTATTAAATTATATTTGATAGATTTGTGAAATGTCCCAGAGACTCTTCCAATCTATAAAAAAATTATTTAAAAAAATATTTTAAAGATTGCGTGTAAAACATTGATATTTGGCAGTTGGGGGCACCGAATCTAATGAGATTCGGAACGCAATGGCGAACAGATGCGACCGTCCCTGAGGCAGAGTACCGCGCGCGTTGCCTCAAGACGTAGTGGGGAGCAGGTAGGTGTTAGCTTACGAAAATCAATCGAAATTTGCAGATCCTGTTTAGCACTGATTTAGAAAAATGTTCTAACATATAATTTTGCCATAAAAACAATTTATTACGTTAAATAATTTATGTACAATAATGATTTTATTTTCATCGTGAAAATAAAAGTATTTAAAAAAAATTACTTTTTCCTTAGTTTTTAGATAAATAAAAGTTGATTTTTCAACTTTGTAATGACTTGAGACTTTTTGTAGAAACTTTTCTATCACTTTGACATATATAAAAAAGTTTTAACTTGGAAACTGTAAAAGTCGTCAAAAAAATATGTGTTCTGTTCTTAATAGTCTTAATAGTAATAAAATCACAAAATATTTTATATGCATAATTACTTATTATATAAGAAATCTAACAAAACTATTGTAATAAGAGTTTTTTTACATATGGATTTATTAAACATGTGAATTATTCTATATTTTATTTGCTATATTGATGACTATTTGATATTGATATGAATACTTTTTAATTGAACGAATACACTGACAATCGATGTGTTTTCTCAATATTAATTTGTCGGTACGCAGGAACAGGCGACGAAAATGCAATTGCAGAGCGCATTCAGTCAGCTGAACCATTATGTTTCCGGTCGCCTCGCTGGTGATACCACATCGACAGCGATTGTTCAGCGTTTACAGATCTTGGGTGGGGACGAGAATACGAAAGCGTTTCAAGATAGCATAGAGCATCACTTACGGATTCAACTGGATCATTGCGTGATGGGACACGAGGGAGATTGTCCCACTTTTACGGTGGCAACTGATAGCGCGAATAAAGCACTGCAGTTTCATTGCAAGTTTGCTCAACATCTCAGCGAAAAATCAAATGAGGAAGTGAACGATGAACAACAACCGCAGCGCAGCAGTATTACCGAACGATCGTTTTGTCAATACGCGAGCGTCGTATGGACATTGTGCGTAGCGCTCTGGGGAAATTATCCTGATCGGGATACAACTGAAAACGCCAATGACGAGCACTATAACGTTATGATGCGAAGAGAAGCCATTGGCGAGTGGCTGAAGAACGTGGTGCAGGAGACAGTCGAAAAAGAGATCAAGAACGTTGATAGTGAGGTCAATAATTGTCATGAAAAGATAATCTTTTCGCTGCTGTCTGCCTGTAAGCTGGAGGACGCATGCCAGGAAGCACGCAAAGTTGGCGATCATTGCTTAGCATTGTTGATGGCGCAGTTGCGTAGCGGTGCGCCGGTCAAGGAACTGATCAAGCAGCAGCTCGCACTGTGGCAGGAGACTAATGTGGATGAAAACCTCGCGGTTGAACGTTTGAAACTATTCATGCTGGTGGCGGGTGAACCACTCATTTCCAGAAAAAATGAGACGATCAATGTCTGCGAGAGTTTAGACTGGAAGCGCGCCTTTGCCATTCATTTATGGTATTTATCGTCGTCCACGTGTTCAATCACAGACGCCCTAGACCTCTATGAGGCATCGTTTAACGCGACGGAGACTCAGATGTACGCAGCGGCGCCAGAACCTGAATACAGAGAAAATGATTACGATGCCGAATTGAGTAATGGCAAGAGGATATACGATCTGTGCTTTCATCTCTTGAAGTTGTACTGCACAGGAAACCATGATTTAGGAGAGCTTCTAAATCCGTTATCTTATACTGCTAATCCACTGGACTACAGACTAAGGTAAATTGTCGCACAACATAATATAGCAATTTGTGTTGAATCGTATAAAAGATAATTATAGCACAATTAACAAAAAAAACTAACTATAGCTGTAGTAAGAGATGCATCAAGAGTTTTAACGTAGAAATATTACTAAAATTTGGAAAATTTTGAAAATTGAATTAAATTTAATTAAAGATAGAAGCCAATCATAGATTACGAAATTTATGTAAATTGATTTAGTCAAGCACATTAAAAAAAAAATAATTTTCAATGATGTTACGGAGTTTTTTTCGATGTATTTGCAAAAGATGTTTCTAATGTTTGCTAATTTCCCATAAATTTTCTTTTTTTTTAATTTACGCTCCGCACTATTTTTCGCACCTTTTTTAAATAGGTTTGTCATTTTGTATTATTTGATTAATACCCCGCGCGACACTATTACTTTCTTATGATTCAAAAAGTATTTAATGAAAAAATATTTTATTATAGTGTTTTGAAAACATCTCGATTTTAGTTAGAAGAATGTGCAATAAAAGATAGGGGTTTCCATTAAGATTTTTATGTTAACCTTGACCGGGCTTTCCAAGATCATCCAAATCTCAATAAATATCATCAATTAATATATTTTTTTAAGTCCTACTATTTCTGTTTGAAACATTTTTCTTATAAACTTTGCAATACTTTCTAAAATAATTGGCAGTTCCGGAACTTTTGCTACGCACTGTATGCATTTAGAAACTCATTTGTTTGCATTTTCGCAATGAATAACGTCATTGTATGTACATACACATTATCGAAAGAGATAATACGCTATACCATTTCATAGCTGACTTTTTAAATTTAAAAAAAAAATTATTAAAATTGTTGAAATTTGTGAATTTGGCATCGTTTTAAATATTGGGTAAAATAAATTGCATTTTTGTCACTTGATGCTTTTTTATTATTGGAAAGGCAAAAATGCAACGCAAATTCAGAAAAAGAAATATGCCGTTGGTAAATATGCATTTTAGGTTACACCTCACCGATTTTGTTGTCATTTAGATATATGTAGGGGAGATTGTTCTGAGTAATTCTCCAAAATCAAGTAGGGAACGGCATTCGTTTAGGAGATATAACAAATTAACGTTTCACAATTTTAATGCTCTTCTTTTGGTGTTATAAACTGATATTACGAATAGTGAAGTTTATATACGCCGTGTTTGTATACAAACACGGTATGTAAAGTTTACATTTTTTAAAGGATAGCTACATGGTCATAGATATTTTGTCAACAGTCGGTTTTACCTATTTTTCGCAGTTCGTTAACAGCTTTCAACATGCGACTACACGAATTTCTAAGCTTTGTTAAGGATAGCAATGAGTTATTAGATTTTTTTATTGATCGAAAAGTTATTCACGGACACATTAAGGTTGCGTTCGCTTTGGACGCTCACGCGCTGAAAGCATCAGTCTATCTTTCTTGCTCATTATACGTCGAAGAAAGATAGAATGACGCTTTCAGCACGTAAGCGTCCAAAACGAACGCATCCTAAATGTACACAGTGTAAAACAGCTTGCGATTTAAATCGTGAGCATCATTATTTTTCTTTATTTTTTCTTATTCTGGTGAAAAATATTTATGGAATACGTTGGCGGGGGAGGGATGGAGCCTCTCTCCCTGCACTCCCATTCCAAAAATCTAACCTAATCTAATTTCAATTAAATAATCAGAATTAGGTTTGGGTTAGGTTTGGGTTAGGTTTGGGTTAGGTTAGGTTAGGTTAGAGTTGTTGGGGATGGGTGTGTAGGGGGAGGGGCTCCGCCCACGAGTGAAAGTTGTATAAACAGATTCTTTTAATCAAATAACAGATTATTTATTTCACTGTGCATAATATTAATTTATAATCTAATTTATAACCTAAAGCATTAAAATTGTGAAACTTTAATGTGTTATATCTCCTAAACCAATGTCGTCCTCCATTTGATTTTTGCGGGGAATTACTCAGAACACCTTTTCTACACATATCTAAATTTTTTCGACAAAATCGATGAGGTGTAACCTAAAATGTATATTTACCACGTCGTTTATGTAGAAATATAGGGGATGCCGTAACAAAAAGATGTGTTAAACTTGATTTGAGAGATTTCGTCAGGGTGACATTCGAAGATGATGAGGCCATTACAACAATTACAAAAAAACAGTTGACAAAACAGGTTTTATTAGATTATACACTACATGTAATGACGCTATACGTTTACTCATGCACACACACGTACGCACGCACGCGTGCGCGTGCGCATATACTGCTATGACACTGATGGTTAAAGATTATTCAATGTAAAATGACTCGCAAAAAATAAAAAATTCTAATTTATTTTATAAAACTAAAAATAGATTTTTATATTTTAAATTTTGCAAGAAAAATCATTATGCGCTGTTCCTACTTTTTGCTGCGCCTTTCTGCTTTCCATGCACGATATTAAATTGTCATTTTTGTCACAAATATTATTCAACAAACAAAGATTATTCAACGTCGTAATGTTTACAAAATTTAAATACAATTTTTGTAACATTTAATTATATTTAATTTTTTGTAAATATTTTGAAAGTAATTTTTCTATAATTAGACAAAATTATACGACTTTTGTTTGATTAACCTATGAAACTATTAAGTAAATGTATTGTTAAATGAAAGATTTTAATAACTACGTGGTAAAAAATCTAAAAAATTTTGAGATATTACCTGACATCACTAGCAGATCTTGATGTCGATACCCCTATCGGGGTGGGGTGGGGGGGGGGGATTTCGACCTGCTTTAATGCATTTTTTACCAAGATTTTCGAAACGGATCCAGCAAAATTGATTTTTTTTAACGTAATAACTTCGTATAGCATACATTATAC